GAAAATACATGCGTCTACATAAGGAGTATTCCTAATGAAACTTGGAACTTGTATTAGACGCCTATTCTATTTTACGAGGAATTCATGTTGAAAAATCCACGAGATATTCCAAGTGCATCATTAAATGGAGGAATAAAGAACAAATCAAATTAAATTCCTCCAAGTTGGACATGGTTACTAATACCCATGAGCATCTTTAATGGACCATGGATTACACCAAAAACGTATACAACATCTTGAAGATGTCAAACACTGGCAACCAAGTTAGGAGGGAATAGTAATGCAACGACCTGAGCATTTGTGTCCAAATCGTTATATCATACGTATTATCCATTTTGGAAGAACCTAAACCTATCTTACCTCTCACAGCTTTCTATCGCGTCCCTTAGGCTTTGAACCTAAGAGCCTTATGGGAGACTTAAAGGCAGGAAGGCCCCTCTATATGCCCTTGGACCAAATTTCATTATGGATAGTTTAGAATTTTGTCTTTCTAAAATTCATCTTAGAAATTCGAGTTCTTGTAAATTTTGATTTTTTTTCCTCATTTTTCTTATAAATAGTGAGCCATCATTAGACTTTTATATCACCATAAAAAGAGCAAAAAAGAGGTTACAAAAGATAAGTGTGTGATCTATTTTATAAACTTCTTTTTTCATGACAATGAATTACTACAGTGGCGGAAAAGATCGTAGTCTTATATTGAGGCAAGCCTATAAATGTTGTGTATCTTTATTTCATTTTGTGTTTTGATTAATCTCAATAAAATAGAATTATGATTTTTAATTCTCAACACTTTGTGAGTTGTAGATGAAGCTAGCGAGCCTCGTCTTTATCTGAACTTCGAGAGTTTTTGTTCTTTCGAGTATATAATGAGCTCTCTCACCTAGAGAGAGGTTTCATTGATCCATAATACCTATTACATTGGGCTTTCTTCGATCGTCGACTTGTGTAGTTGCTTAATGGGGACTAATCTTACAAATTCGGAGTCCAAATAGCTAGCCATCTTGGAGAGAGCATCAACATATCCATTTTTAACCCTTGGGATTGGGAGTATTTCGAACTGTTCAAAGTAACGAAGAGAGTCCATGATCAACTTCGAATATGCGACAATCATCACCTCACTTGCATGAAAATTCCGATTGACTTGACTTATCGAAAGGAATCTCTATGTACTTGGAGTCTCTTAGCGTTCATTTTGTTTGCCAGTCTCAAACCCATTGGCAATTCCTCGTATTCAACATTTTTTGAGGTAGTGAAATCAAAGTGAAGTGTGCAATTAAGGTTATGACCTTCGGGACTAACAAGTAGTATACTTGTTCTAGGATCACTCGAAGATCCCTAAATGTAAAGTTTCCACGTATAGACCTCTTCAGGCTCGCAAATAGGCATTTCTCTAGAAGGTGCACAAACTCTACAACAAAGTCAGTAAGGGCATAGCCCTTGATTGAGGATCAAGAATTAAAGTTGATTTCAAACTGGCTAAGCTCCAATGCTCCATAAACAACTTTATCAATCTACCGATGTATCGAGCTTTTACAGTACTTGACTCAAGTGGTAATTGGTGAGCACGTCTGTAACGCCCCAAAAATTTTAGAATAAAATTTTATTTGTTTTATATACTATATATTTAATATTTTCAAAAAAAAAATGAGGACTAAAATAAAATAGATTTTAAATTCCTATCTTATTTGAGCCAAATAATTATGTATCGATAGAGTGGTAAATGTTGATTTTGATAATGATTATCTTTTGTGATTTAGATAGAGTTTGATTGCAATCTTACTTTGATAAATTTTAAAAATAATCATAATTCTATCTTTTGAAATCAATTATTATCAAAATTCTTTATATACATCGTTTTAA